AAAAAAAAAAAAAAAAACCTATAATGCTACCTCTCCCAAATGTTACCAGAGAATCCAGGTCACAAAAGCTTATTGAAACTCTTATTTCATGCCATCCATCCTTAAGTCACATTTCAGCAATGCAAATTGCTGGCAATTAGGCTGCTGCAACACAACTAGTCTCTGAAATACCACCACTGCATGTAGTCTGTGCTCTAGGCAGATAACTGAACCAATGTAGCTCAGTTTACTGGGCTCAGGTATCTTCCCAGTGCTTACGATAGAAAGTTATCAATGTATTTGTTATTACAGAAGAGATATTAAGTTAGTGTTTTAAGCGTGCTTACCAATGCAGAGTCAAAGAAATCTTCAACAAGTTTCATCAAAGAATTATTTTGAGCTGGCTCTATGAGCATCAGGAATTCTCTTGTTCTTTCAAACCAAGATACCATGTAAAAAAATTTTTTTAAAGTTAATAAGAATCGTGGAAAGTTTACATGCAACCAAACCTTGAAGATTTTTTGAACCCACGTTAGGCATCAGTAGCTAGGTCAGTCTCACAAAACACACACAGTTAAGTATATGCATGTTAGCACAAGCCTGATAAGAGGGAAACTGAAAGAGGGCAGGGGAAGTTAACACCAGTTATGGACAGAAGTTACACAAACTGATTTAAGCAATCAGAAACTGGTTTAAACCTGTAACAGAATAAGTACAGTGCCCATAAACTAGTTTCAAAATGGCCGAGGCAAATTTGAGATGAACCTAGTTGAATGTCGTATCAGACTAACCAGTTTGGATCATACCAGTTTATGGAACTTCTGTCCCAGACCCCTTCCTGGTTTAAGTTAAATCAGAGTCCCCCAGCATGCTCTGCAGTCCTGGGCTGTGCTCTCTGCTCCAGTGGAGCAGGGCTGGCCCTACCCCCAACTGCCAGCAGGGACTTTTCCATCTCCAGCAGTCGGGAGCAGGGTTGATTTCTCTTCCTCATCTGCTTCTCAGCTGGGGAAATCAACCCAGCTCCCAGCTGGGACAGGAGAGGAAAGCCCCCACTGCAGGCTTCCCTCCCTCTTCCCCCCACCACCTGGCTTTGGACCCCTAGCCAGGCTGTGCCCAGCACAAGGGGTGAGAAGCCCACAGTGGGGGCTGTTTTTCCACCCCACTCCCTCCTCAGCCAGCCTGCCAGCCAAGCAGAGGGCACAGCTGAGTGATCTGGCTAGCTCCTGGCTTGGGCAGGGGAGTAAAGCCCCTGCTGCAGTTTTCCCCACAGCTGGGATCCAGCCTATCACCCAGCCCCTTCCCCAGCACATCCTACAGGCCGGCTGAGGGCATGAGGGGGAAAAACAGTGCTTACTGAGGTCTCCCGCACCCCTTCACCTAGCACAGCACAGCTAGGGGTCCAGAGCTGGGGGGCTGGTATTCCCACCACTGCTCCTCAGCTGACCAAGGAAAAGCTAGGGCCAGGTGATCAGCCCAGCTCCTGGCTCTGGGTGTGGGGAAGAAAACCACCCTGCTGGGGTTTCCCTCCCCCCTTCCCCAACACCAGAGACCCCAGCTGGGGGTCCAGTGCCAGGTAGAGGGGAGGGTTTACCCCCATACCCTCTCCTCAGCTAACCCAAACTGAGGAGGGGGTGTGGCTGGGGGGTGGTGGAGTGGGCTCTGGCCATAGGGAGAGAAGGGAAGAAGTGGGGAGACCCTGGATGGGGTCTAGATCCTCCCAGGCCTGCTCCTCAGCTGACTGGGACTGAGGAGGGGGCATGGCAAGAGGGACCAGCTCTGGGCACAGGGAGAGGGGGAAAAACATCCCACTGGGGTCTTCCCTCCACCACTTCCCTAGGGTTATGGAGACCCCAGCTGGAGATCTGGTGGTGTAATTCCCCCCACACCACCTCCTCAGCTGACTAGAGGCTAAAGAGGTGATGCAGCTGGGGATCATGCATCTCTGGGATCTCTGCACTGGCTGCCAAGCTGGGAGGAGAGTTCTAACACTCCCTGGCACCCAGTATGTATGGGCCACTGCAGAGGTTTGGCTGCCTTTGCTTTTCAAAAGCAAAGGTCAGTTCGCTTTCTTATTGGCTGAGTCCAAGCCGTTCACAGAAACCTGCAAAGACTGAATCAGTTCAGGTCTTGGGTTTTTTCACTGTCCGTCCCTAGCCCAAAGGACCCAAGAGATCACTTGATCATATGAATGGAATTAAATAAAATAAACCTTCCTCAGCAGAACAGGCAGACAAGCCTAGGATACCAGTCGCTCACTCTGGTGAAAGTTGCTTGAACTGATGCTTAAAAGTTGCTTCTGCCGAGGCAGAAATTGCTTTTCCTTCCCTGTGCCCACCCCAAATGACCTCTACTTATGCCCTGCAGCTAAAGCTATACAGATTCTGTAGATTCTGCAAGGGGTGTGCAGAAACTGCTTGGAAAAAGCTTTCCATAGTAGGTAATATGTTGTAAAACCAAAAAGAAACGGGTTGGTGGAAGCCATCTCTGCTAAGATTGTGAGCATCTCCCTTGATCTAGCTAACAGAGTATTTTGTACATATTGCTTGCAGCTACGTTTTGTTACTTTTGTTTGCAAATGAATGATCAGTATTTATATTCCTCAAGAGCAAACTTATAAAATGGTATCAGAAAACATGGGGCTGGAGAGACTTCCATGGCACAGCACTATTAACCGTCTCAGTGCTACCAATTCTTCCACATAATTCTCACTAAATAGCAGCTGAGCATTTTTGTGAAAGCACTCTCACTAAACAAGCAGAGCCATTAAAATCAATGTTGCCAGATACAGGACGGGACCCTAATTTTATTTCTACAATATTCCTGTGTAAGAAGCATCCTCAAAGACAGCATATTGGCCAATCCGAAAAAACGAAGATTTTTCTAACAAAAATTTTGCTATTTTCGTTGTACTATTTAAACCCAATTTCAAAGCTTTATTTTATGGACAGAACTTACATTCTATTCCAACTAATGCTCTTGTTTATTAAAATCTTTTAGAGCTAGTCTGTTGTTTGTTAAGTGTTATTATGTCAACCATGTATTTCTACAGGTGTCTAAGCAATGAAAGATTTGTGGTTGACTATTACATTTCATGTAGACCAATTCACCAACAAGTCTGTTATTTTAGTTCAGTCAATATGCTAAAAAAGAAAAAAAATAGCCCTGCAGTTTTATTTCAATAGCAAATCATACTTTAGTGGCTTTTTTTCTATAAAAAAAATTCTGAAAGACACTCTTCCATCTGAGCAAACTGTATACTTATCTTTGGTATCAATCCCTGCTGAATAAGTAAGCTTGCACCTTCTTGTGGATCACTCTTAAAGTAGAGCTGAATGCATTTCAACAGCACTGATACATTTTGAAATTCATTCTTGTCCAACTCCTATAAAACATTTTTCATCAGAATGTCAATAATAAACTTGTTTAGAATGGTAATTATTTAACCCATGCCTCAAGCTGATTTCAGCATGTATTACATTACTTGCCTTTTTTAACACTTTGTCAAGTTGATTAAACAGCTGTTTACTAAATTTTTGAGGAGGACAAATTTCTTTTTCTTGAAAGAGCTCACTTATTTTCTGAAATCCTTTTCCCTTAAAAACATCAGTTATGAGCGATTCAAGCTGAAAAAAACAAACACAAAACATGAAGCACAATTACTGTTCCCCAAAGACAGTGTGCCTAAACTCTCTCACCGGCACCACAAAAATTGGGGGTTTTTTTGGCAGTGCTTGTTTTAAGCGAAGCCCCCAGCGAGAATGAAGGGATTCTGTTTTATCCCACGGCTTCTTTTGGTACTTGCTACTTGAGAATTAGTTTTAAAAAGTTTGAAAACAATTGGGACTAATTCTTTCAGAAATAACAAGCAATTACAAGAGCCTCGATTTTAGGGTACACTGCACAAGACACCTTAAAAGTGGCTGGATGTCCAAAGGGTGACCAACTCAATTCCTCCAGCTCAAGCCATTTCATAGATATTTTTTTACCCCACAACTCCCTTTAACCTATCTGAGCATTTGCCAACAAAAGATGCAGTTAAAATCTATTAACTCAATTTACACCTTACATCACGTCTCGGCCTCTTGTAGGCTCAGATCTGTCCTGCCAATTACTGTTGAGATTCCCCTGTCATGAACATTGTTTTTAGTATATTGTCTATACAAATATACTAAACATTCATTTGTTTTAAATAAGAGAACATAGCCCAAATCCTTATATTATGCCTACACAGGACCCCTGAACTTATGTCATTAACAGACTGAATGGCAGTTCAGATCAAACAGTCTCCTCTCATTGCTCTTACTACATATTCAGTTACATCATTACCTGCAATGCTGGCAGAAATGGAGTATCGTATTGCTTATTCATTTCATGTGCACATACACAAAAGATATGAGTATTACTTAAATAGATATATACAAGATTAACAACATCCATTATTAACATACAAGAAAGTAATAGCTTGCAGATTAAAAAGTTATTTACATAGTATTCTGTTCTGGCTGCCATGTTTCCATTTAAGTCACTGCTTCCCTCTGGACTTTCTCTCTCCTTTAAACATAAAAATAAAGATAAAAATAAAGGCGGCACTCATTTCTACACAAAAAGAAAAGTTCATTTGGAGACCAAAGTCTCTTTTGATTATGAGGTTACTTAGAAAGGAGAGAGAACCCTTGGCTCTTTTGCCAGTCCCCAAAGAAAAGAAGTTTAATTGCAGAAACTCACATGTCTGTTTTTTGGCTGTGCCTTCAATGCCTCCCCCCACTCCCCCATCGTAATTGTATTTGTATCCCTGGGGCTCCTGAAGTGAGCCTCTCCTAGTCAATCTGAAACTCCCGAATTGAAACCTTAGGTTTTAAATAAGGACAGAAGCATTTACAAGGACCCTCAGTTCTGTAAACCAAGTTCACCTATGAAGATGCATATTTAGTTAGATTTCTAATGATTTATGTTTGTATTCATACCTGTAACTTTTTAGTTTGTCTAGAAAGCTGTCCATCTACCCTGCCTTCAGACTAGCAGGGCTAACTACCTCTCTCTGGAAATCAATTTGCCTGGCAAGGCCAGAGTCTTGGCTTCCAGGACACAGCATGAAGCTTGTTTCTTGTGCTTCAGGCAATATTTGGAGGAGGAGAAGCAGAGAAGAGAGAGGGAAGTACTTTTATTTCTGAAGACAGTCTTTTCTGGACACCAATTCCAGTGATGTTTGACCACATGCAAAAGTACGGGGAAGTTCTCTAGAGCAATGATTCTCAACATTTTTTGTACCAGGACCCATTTGTAAATACAAATGCCTAGTCCTGACCCAGTACCCCTCACTCCAGATCTGCTGCCCCATCCCCAGGTCCCCAGCGTGGGGCATGGGAGTCCCCACCCAAGCAGCCCCTTGAACTCAGCCAGCCTGCAAGGGAAGACTGACAGTTTCCCACATTTTTCTCCTTTAAAAGAGACTCCATTTTTTAAAGTTTGCAGATCCATTTTTAAACTTTGTCTCTGACCCTTTCATATATTTTCCTTTGTTCTACTTTTGGGTCGTGACCCAGAGCCTGAAAAATGCTCTAGAGAAACCGAGCTGGAGGGGGAGAGAGAGGGAGAAATTAAGGGGGCCTGGAGGACAGTGATGTCATGCCGCACAGCAGCAAGAAGCTGCCCACAGGCTGATCAGCAGGAGGAGCTTAGGGTGGCATCACAGAGGACATTCAGATTTTCTGCTATTCTGTCCTCTATTGATACAAAACCGGACACCTTTATGTCCTCTATTTTTTGCTTTAAGAAACTGAAGCATTTTTCAAGCTCTGGGTCACGACCCGAAAGTGGGTCGCAAGAATATATGAAAGGGTCAGGGGCAAACTTTTAAAAAGGGATCCGCAAACTTTCTCTTTAAGAGAAAAATAGAGGACACAAAGGCGTCCGGTTTCATATCAATAGAGGATGGAGGACAACTGAACTGTCCTCCATGATGGCCATTGGCGATGCATGTGCATCCCCTGGAAGCACCAGCCGTGAAACTGGAAGTGCACTTTTGGTTTGGCCGCTGATTGGCTGCTGAGGGACCCCCCTGGCTGACAATCAGCAGCGGGGGGACCGCTCCCCATTGGCAATCTGGACTCAGGAGACACCAGTCGCCCATGATGCTGGCCACCCTAATCATGACCCACAGCTTGAAGAAAAAAATGCTGCTCTAAAGAAATTGAGCTGGAGGGAGAGAGAGAGGGAGAGGTTAAGGGGGTCTGGAGGACAGTGCCTCAGGGCTGATGAGCAGGAGGAGCTGGAGCCCCTCTCTCAGATAACAAGGGCCAGGAAAGGAGGCGCTGGAGGGAGAAAGCAGGGGCCGGGCTCTGGGGAAGAGGCAGGGGAAGCCAACTCCTTTTTCCTGCAAGAGCAGGAAGGGCACAACCCGGGGGGAAAGCACTCTAAGGGGAGGAGGAGACCCAGGGCTCCTGGAGAGGGAAGCAAAGCAAAGCACGCAGCGGAGCCCCCCCCTCGCCGCGCAGGAGCGCACTCACCTGGGGCGCGCGGGCCATGGCGCGGGGCTGGGCGCCCCACGTGCAGCCTTAATGAGGCGCGGGCCAGGCCGCACAGCTGCACCGGGGTCAGGAGAGCCCAGCTCCGCGCCGGCAGCCTGCGGGGCCCGCCCGGTGCGGAAAGGGAAGGGAGGTGCGGCAGCCGGGCGCTGAGGTAGCAGAGAGCAGCACGTGTGACCGCAGGGGCTCGTGTTCAAACCCACGGGCGTCTCCCTCCCTACCCCCGTGGGCAAACCTACCGCCTCCATGGTGTGGGGCGAGGGCCCGCGCCCCCGTGTTGAGCCGACGGCGCGGAAAAGCCGCAGGTGTTGCGGGTTGAGCTCGTTGTGCCGGGGCCGGGCGAGGGCGGGGATCCCAGCCCCGGCTCCTTTCCAGGCTGCCCCGCAGGGCTAGGTGCCCAAAACGGAGGTCACGCAATAATCCCCCCGCCTTCAAAAAGTACTGCTCTCCTGCTTCTCCCTGTGCCTGAAGAAGGGTGTTGGGGCCCGAAAGCTTACAACAGAACAGTTTGGGGTCACCTTTCCATTAGGATCCAGAAAGACCAGGGCACCCCAAGGGAAGACAAAGCTCAACAGTCACCAACTCCTGGAAGACCATTTTAGACTGGATGTAAGGAAAAACTTCTTTACTGTCCGAGCCCCTAAGGCCTGGAACAGGCTGCCGCAAAGGTAGTGCAAGCACCTACTCTGGACACTCTCAAGAAACATTTGGATGCCTATCTTGCTGGGATCCTTTGAACAGATATTCCCCCAGGTCCTTATGTACTTATAGGCTGCCACCAGCCCTAGCTGACTTCATCGGGGCTGGACCCAATGATCTTCCAAGGTCCCTTCCAGCCCTGATGTCTATGAAATCTATGAATTTTCCAACTATTGAGTTGGTCGAATAAAAGATATCACATCTCCCCAGAGAACCTTGTCTGCCCATGTCCTTAGACCACAGTTTCTCAGCCTGTGGGGTTACATGGGACACAGGCAGGGGGTACACGGATGCCAAAAAACCCTGTAGCAAGGGGGCACCGCCGCTCCCCCCGCTACCACTGGGTTTGCATCTGGCCACTCACCCCCCCACAAGCCAGCCACAGGCTGCAGGAGGGGGAAAGCAGGCACACAGATACCCGGCACTCCCCACCGACCCAGCTGCAGGCAGGTAAGTTTCTTTCTTTATCCTGCCTGGGCTTTGGTGGAGGGAAGGGGGGCAGACCGCGACCCCCACAGTGCAGGAGGGAGTACAGTAGGGGCAAGGCGCTGCCCCACTCCCTCCTGCACGGTGAGGCTTGCCCCACCACCCGGCCCACCACCCAGGACCCCGTTCACCGCACACGGGAGGGAGCGGCTGCCGCTGCAGGCTGGGGCTGGCGGCAGCACCGAGCTCTTCCCGGCACTCGGGGAAGGCTGCAGTGATGGGAGGGGGGCTGCTGCCACCCCAGTATCTGCCGGAGCCCTCCCCAGCTGCCACCAAACGCTGGGAAAAGCCTGGCCACCTGTAGCCAGCCTGGGCTCTGGACAGGTGCAGCAGTTTGCAGCCTGCCTGCTGCAGCTACCCAGAGCCCAGGCTGGCTACAAAGAGCTGCACCGAGCTCTGGAGACCAGCATGAGCTCTGTGCCAGCAGCGCCTCAGAGCGGACAGCGGGCGTAGGGCCCGAGGCATCGCACCCCTCCCCCACTCCTTGCTCTGAGGCGCGCGCGCACCTGCTGGTATGAAGCGGATGCCGGGGCTGCGCAGCGCGGTGCAGTTGTTTGCAGCCTGCGTGCTGCAGCTGCCCAGAGCCCAGGCTGGCTACAGGTAGGGGCCAGCAGCGGCATCAGGCTTTTCTGGGCTGCGCTGCCTCAGGCCCCACCCCACTGTCCGGTCCAAGCAGCTCTTTGCAGCCTCCCCGCTCCTGCAGGGAGCAGCTCAGGTTCCATGGCTGGCAGCAGCTGCCTAGAGCCCAAGCAAAACGGCCTCGCATGCCATGCTTGGCACGCGTGCCGGGGGTGGCCAACCCTTGCCCTACAGACTTACCTCACCATGCTGCGGGCCTCCACTCCTCCCCATGACCCCAGCCCCTGCTGCAGTGGCCCTGGAAGCAGCCGTCACCACCTGCCTGCACCACAGCACAGTGGGGAAGCACCGTGACCACGTAGGCGGGCTCCCCAGGGCAGGTGATTGTCTCTAATATGTCCTCCATAGGAGGTCTATATTGAGCAGTTGTTTTTTTTTTGGTATTGGGTGGTGGAACTGGAGCTTGCTCCATCCACTCCATGCATTGACCTGGTATACCAGTGCTTCCAGGACCGGTGCAAAAAACCAGACAAAAAAAAAGAAAAAGCAGCCCAGGGGCTGGGGTGAGTGGGGACAAGTGGAGCCTCGGAGCTAATCGCATAACAGTGAATTTACCTCGGGTATAACGAATTTGGGGGGTAAAAAGGGTCGTCACATAAGAGCGAATTCACATATACCGAACCTGATATTTTCCTAAAATAAGATACTTTCATCATTCATCAACCTGCACTTGCTTGCCAGCCTTTCTGCATCAGAACTCTCCTGCTTTATGAGAAATAGAGTCGTCCATCAGTAAAGGGGAGAAAGATTGTGTTTCTCAGAGTTTAAGCAGGTGCCTGTCTGCTGTCATTTCCACTTTAAGTGTTTAAATTTGAGTGGGCTTGTGTCACTGTTCTAATTTTACTGTTTATGAGGTGTTAAAATGGATCGTTTTCTTGTAAAAAGAAAGACTTCAGATTTAGAAGAAGGTAGTTCCCAGACAAATGTGCAAAAAGTGTTGGAGCCAGAGGAACATGTTTTGAAAAACATGAGCCTCGGTAGTGAAAGTACAAAATCTTCACAGGTTCATAAAGCAGGTAGCTACAATCCCAGTTAGCTGGCTTTCGGGTTTACAACAAACAGAAGTATACCTTCATTACCACTTTATGTGATTTGCAGTGAAATACTGTCTAACACATAAAGTGGTAATGAAGGTATACTTCATACAATACTGTATGAAGCCTTCCCTTCTGAAAAGGCACCTTCATACTAAACATCCT